ATCCTGTTTAAGGTACTAGGTGTCTGATTACACACAGTTCCATGAAAACATTGAACTGAACACTTAAAGATTAGTTTGTATTCTTTCGTGTAAATTGGAGGTCAACCCTCAGACTTAATCGTGAGTTTGCTTTTCACATATAATGACCACTAGTGAGATGAGCCCCGTAAACTCTGCACATCTTGGGGATAATGCGGGAGCTACCATTGCTAACGTTGGGAGAGTCTTGCGGTCACCCCAGCCCTTGCACACCTCAGCACCAAACAGAGGGCAGCTGTGCAGACCGCTGACTTCTCTTCACGGGAGCAGTGTTTGGAGTGCAATCAGGAGTCAGCCCTGATGCCTGCTGGCAACGTGGCAGTGAGTGCACGCTCATCCGTGTCTGCTTCCGGCATCGCTGCTTGCTGCTGCGGAGTCCAAGCCACACCTGGCCATCGGCTCCGAGGCTCCCACCCTGAGGTTCACACATCTGTCTGATGAAAAGGATGTTCTCAGGCTGAGATGAGGCTTCAACCAGGAAGTTCAGCGAGTTTGCACTTGGATCTCTGCTCTTACCGTGGAGGCCCAGGGACTTGGAGTGATGGCTAGCTTGCCTCGTGTGTGCACAGCCCAGAGGCGCCCCAGCCCCCGGAGGCACTGAGAGGTTAGTGAAGAGAAGGAAGGAGCTAAGTCACTAAAGGAAAATGAGAGTTTGGAGTCAGGAGCTCTTTCTGGGAATTATGTTGCCTCCGGTGAAATCGTATTACATGTAATGAAATAAATGTCGGAATGCAGCATGCCCCATGAAGACCCGATCAACGGACGTCATTGTCATTTCCTTGGCCAGCCTGCCCTGTCCTGGGATCCCCTCTCCCCGAGGAGAGCAATTACCCCAATTGGTTTTATTGCATTAGTGCGGGCAGAGCCGAATAAAGGGGCTTTCTTCCCTCCTGCAGGAGCTCCCGGGAGGCCAAACCCGGACTCCAGCCTGGGGGCAGCATGGGTATTTCTGGTAAAAAATATGTCTGCAATGGTTTGGCCTATGGCCCCCAGCTACAGCCCCCGACCCCCAACTCACACAGGCTCCCAGGCTCCTCAGCACCCTCTTTGTGCCTCTATTTCCAGCCACTTGCCTTGGAACCACCCTCAGCAGGAAGACAGCCATTCCCGGTGGTCTAGAGTAACCGGGTCCTAACTGCCTCCAGGACCTGTGACATTCCTTCCACCCACTCCACCAGCCCCACTTCCAGGTCTGTCACAGGCAGGAGCCCCACGGCAGTTCTCAGAGGACCTCCTGTCTGGGAGAGGGCAGATCATGGCTTCTCTCCCTCAGCACAGGATCAGCCAAGCCACGTCCCATAACTGACTGGAACTGACTGTATGCACAGTGCTCCCCTTGAGGCTTTAAATGTTGCATTTCTATTTCATTGTACCTTGGGGTCAGAAAGGTATCAACACATAAGACTGACGCTGGAGAGTAAAACATGGGGTGGCAACTCTGAGTTCAGATGGGAAGTAAACCTTAAATGCAGCCGTCACCACATGCTCTCTCTGCTCACAGAGCACATGGGGTGCCCCCACCTGCTAAAGGTACACATGGGATCTTATGGGCCCACCTCAGCTCCCACAGGAGAGAAGCGACATACTACTTAGGGCAGACCCAGGCTTCCCAGGCCCCCACCGGCCCAACTCCCAGTCACCCATGGGTGGTGCCCCAGACACCATGCCTGCTTGTGGGAGCAATGGTCTGTCCTCCTCACCCCCTCATCCTCCAACACACACACACACACACACACACTGTGAACCACTGTCAGTGCTCAGGACTCCAGGGTCCTCGCAGCTTCTCCTTTGTGGGAAAGAAGCTGGCAGGCTCTGACGATGAAAAAACGGGTGTATGTCAAAGCAAGATACTGCAGACAGCTCTCCAGGGTGGTACCGGTGCCCTGATGGAAAGGGGCGCCTGTCCCCATTCCGCGCCCCCGGGGCCAGTGTGCAGGACTTGTGCAGCTTCACAGAGATGGGAGCTCTGTGGTGTGAGGCCTCGGACCGGCCCATTCCCAAAGGGGAGTTTTGAAGATGCGTGCTCAGCTCCCTGAGCTTCAGAGAGGAGCCCATCTGCATCCCACCGGCCCCTGCCTTTGTGCTCCTCCTCCCACCATCCCCGGGGTTTGGGGGCTTTCTCAGTGGCTGCGAATGTCCCAGCTTCCTGGCGCTCCCGTCCCCAGGCAGGGAGCAGGGGTCGTATGGGCAGCTGTGGGTCATTCCCCTCTCTCTGGCTCTGCCTTGTAAGTGGCCTATCTGCCGTTTTCTGTGGAGGTTTTTTTATTTTTTTCCTTCAGAATTAATTTTGGCCTGAAAACGTCTCAAAGAAGGCTTTGTTCCTTTGACACTTACTCTGGGAGAAAAAAAATCTGTGGAAAATCTGACATCTGCATTGTAGGGAGAAATCAGTAGATGGGGAGGAATATAATTATCTTCCGCTCCTGAAAGAATGTCTCAGATTTTTAAGTGTCTCATATCAGCTTAGAGTTTGAATGACATTTTAATTATTTTGTTTTTTTTCTTCTTCGCCGGTTTGAATCTCCAAAGATTCACCCTCGGGTTCTGAAAGGATGCGGGGAGCCTCGTGTGCCCGCACGGCTGAGGTTTTCCACGGAACAAGGGGTGCATCCGAAGCCAGCAGTTCTCCCACAGGCAGACGGCCCACTCAGACCTGGGTCGCCTGTTTTCACACAACATAGCTGTGTATGGTGAAATTCGAACGAGTTGTCCCTCTAGCACTTTGTGACCTAAGCAAACCCAGTTTCCAGAAAGATGTGCCTCCACTTTCCAAAGCGATGCACTCCAAAGCTTTTATCCTTGGGGCGCAGCTCCACGAAGGTGCGAGCTCGGTGGCTCTGGGAGCAGCCGGTGGCTGCGGGCCAGGCCGCTTCTGCCCCGCTGAGGAATGCAGTCCCAGCGAGGTGGCTGCGGAAGCAGAAGTGGCTCCTCCAGAACCAGCTTCAGAATAGCCTCTGGGTCTCAGTGGTGCCGGGAACGGTAGGAGCAGTCCCTTTGGGGGGTATTGTAAACCGCTGTTAGGTGCACCCGTGTTTCTCAGTCCAGCCCGCACGCACCGCAGAGCTGCCATCCAGGTTCACTGTAGAAGCTGTGTGGCCGCACACGTCACTCCACATTCTCCTCCTCAGGGTGTTGCTGAGTTCGTGCTGCCCACCAGGGGTCCAGGCCAGAGGTCTTGGCTGCTCCCCATCCCACACCTGCTCCAACCCCTCTGCCCATCCTGAGGCTCCACATGTCTGGAACTGGACACATCCCACTTCCGGAACAGTCATTGTGCCTTGCTGGCTGCATGGCCACCAGAGGAGCCATCAGCTCACACCCTTGTATGTGGCTCAGGGCCCTCAGCCTCCCCAATGTCTCCCAGGCACAAAGGTTAGTTTCATGTGTCAACCAGCTTTAGCCATCACCCTAGTTATTCAATCAAACCCTAATCTCATGGTTGCAGCAAGTGTTTCACAGACGTCATTAAAATTCATGATCAGCCCAACCAGTGTGGCTCAATGGTTGAGCACTGACCTATGAGTGGTTGAGGTCACAGTTGGATTCCCCGTCAGGGCACAAGCCCGGGTTGTGGGCTTGATCCCCAGTAAGGGGTATGCAGGAGGCAGCCGATCAATGATTCCCATCATTTGTGTATCTACCCTCTCCATTCCTCTCTGAAATCAATATTTATTTATTTATTTATTTAATTTTTTTAGAAAGTTCATGATCATTTGACTTTAATGAGAAATACTATCCCGGACAATCTGGGCGGGTGCATGGTGGGTGGTGGGTGGGTGGGTGGGTACATGGCTGTTTGGATGAAACTCAGGTAATCATAACTGCAGAAACCACCGACACAAGAGAAAACTGAACTGCATTAGGGTTGTTTTTTTATCGGTGCAGTTTCTTTTTCCCCTCTAATCCGACTGTTATGTAAGAGACAGAAATTGGAACTGAGTCTCTGCATCTCAAGCAGAGTTTTTATTCCTGGTGGGGACCAGTTGGTTTGTGGCTTAGGAAGGAATCATGCGGAGAGAAAAGGGGCTGTTGGGGTGGGGCTGCATCTGACAGACAGGTGAGCAGACTTTCCTCCCTGTGACTGCAGACCAGCCACGACGTGGACTCTGCATGACGTCCTGGCAGCTGTGCAGGGTTGCGGGGCAGCCAGCTGTGCTGGGGCAGCTGGCCAGCTCCCAGAAACTCGTCCACAGGCTGGTCAGCAGAGTCCCCTCTCCCTGCAGCCACTTTCCCAGGGGACCGGGCAGCAAAGCAGCTCCCTGGCCCTAACTGGTTTGGCTCAGTGGATAGAGAGTCGGCCTGCAGACTGAAGGGTCTCAGGTTCAGTTCTGGCCAAGGGCATGTACCTTGGCTGCAGGCACATCCCCAGTGGGGAGTATGCAGGAGGCAGCTGATCAATGTTTCTCTCTATCCCTCTCCCTTCCTCTCTGTAAAAAATCAATAAAATACATTTAAGAAAAAGAAGCAGCAGCAGCTCCCTGGAGGCACTCTCAGGCCTGCACATGGGCAGGGCCCTGAGTGCCTTGAAACAGTGGTGACCATTTAGGAGGTGGATGGAGATTCCGTCCAGCCCACCTGAGCTCTGCATGGCGTGTCATTGTAGCATTGACATCCTCCTTGGCATCTGTAGAAATATCAGTAAGGTTACGTGAATGCGTAGCTTTGCAAATTCGTCCAGTTTTAAAGCCTCAGCGTTGTATTACTGAGTTTTAAAGAACGGAGCAGGAAGCAGTGTTTCTTTTTCCCCGGAGCAGTTGCTGACTTTTCATCATTGAAGCCTTTGTGAAACTTCCTTTAAGTTCTCCCCACCTCACTTCAGGTGTACCCCCAAATGTGCTGCTCCCACACGTTCCTTTCAGCTCAGGCTCTTCCCCGGCGGAGACTCCCCCGTCCCGAGGGCTCCTTGCCTTTCTGGGGAGGCGGCCTGTTCACGCTGCTCTTTCTCCTTCTTGCCTTCGCAGGGCCTGATCAAGATCCGGGGGGACCAGTGCTGGCGAGACCTCACCTGCATGGATTTCCACTACGAGGTGAGAGCCGTGACCGTGAGGGGAGGACGCAGACTCCAGCTCCTGTGGGAGCCCTTCCTGCTCCCTCCCTTGGGAGGCAGAGTGTCCCGCTTGCTGGGACTGGCAGAGTGGTTGTGGGTCTGGTTCATTCTGGTTTGGGGAGCGAGTCCCTCTGCTGCTGTCCACAGCCCTGCCCAGGCCCTGGGTGTCAGGCTGGGCTCCCTCCCTTCTAGAGGCTGAGCTGGCCCTTCCGGCCCTATACTGAGCTCCCAGCCTCCATGGATGTGGGTACAGGGTGTCCCCGCTCCCCTGGGGGCAGGCTCCAGTCCTACTGTGTTCAGACCCCCCAAACCCCTCTCTACCTTGGCCCAGGGCTGTGGGCATAGTCCCGACCCCAGGACCAGGTCCTGGCCAGAGCCCCTCCAGACATCCCTGTCTCTGCTGACTGCACGCCTGTTCAGTGGGGGGCTGGGATCACCTTTCCTTATGAATTAATGCGAGGGCATTTGGCATTGAAGTGTCCTTCGTCGTCTCAGTCTCAGTAATGTTGGCTCATTCGCACGCATGGTGCATGCCTGTCGGGCGCCCGTTCTCACGTTGGGCTCGTGTTGCTTTTATTGGCGGTGAAAGCTCTGACACGCCTAGAGCACCACCCGTCAGACAGAATGCTGTCGCCCTGTTCCCTGCTCGTTGCTTAGGGCTCAAATACAGGAGAGCGGTTTTACCTGCTCTTCTTCTAAAAGGCGGCTTGTAGCCATCTTATGTCTTCTGTGGCTCTCAGTCCCAAGTGTGTTCAGTCCTGGATGTCACCTCTGAGTCCTGGGGTGCCGCCCCCTCACTGCTGTGCCCGTGTGTGTTGCCGGGCTGTGTTGGTGATTAAGCAGCCCGGGCAGGGTCATTCTCTGTGCGCTGCATTTAAGAAGCCGGGCTTTGTCTTTAGCGTCTGGAGATCAGCCGACATCCCACCTAACATGCCTCAGAATGTCCTCCCCTCCTGCTCAAGGACCCATGAGGCCCACCCTCGGTCCTAGAGCTGACCTTTCCAAAAGTGCCAGCAATGAAATGCTTCCGGCTTGGCAGGAGGGAGCATGGGACCCCATGGACTGGGCCACGACACTTCTGCTCTGTCCCGGACCTGTCCACAGGCCCCTCAGCCACCTTGTCAACACTGGCCTGCTGTGTGGAGACTGTGTGTCCCCACAGAGGGCCTCAGGGCACGGCAAACAGGCAGCGCCTGTCAGTCCGCTGGATGCGAATGCCCGTGCTCGCTGTGCGTGCAACTCTCTGCCAGGATGGAGGCAGCTCTAGGGCTCCTGTGTTAGGACAGTGGACGGAGCTGTGGCGAGTGGAGGGCAGGGATGGTGAGCGTCCCTACAAGGGCATGGCGTTGGCACACACCAGGGCCTGCCTGAGATTGGGGCAGGCAGCGGGAATGTGGCCACCATAGCGCTGGCTTGTGAACTAAGTCCTGGGACAGGCTGCCAGCAGGCTATGGCTCTCGTATGTGGGAGGCCGGGGCCACTTGGAATCGACGTTGTAGGAAAGGCTGAGTTGAGGCTCATCAGCAATCAGGAATGTGATGGCCAGCGATCCCCCGGGACCCAGGGCTGAGCCGAGCAGTGCTCGGAGGCCCTGGGAGCTCAGTGCTGCATCACGAGGAATCGGGCCCATGGATCCAAGGCGGCCCTCGGGAGGAGCTGAACCCACCGCTCTCTGCAGCTGCAGAGCCTTTCCTCAGCGAAGCCTGTTTCAATGCCCGCTTTGTAAGGTGGGTTGGAGTGAGGACACCGGCTGATGTCTCCTTAGGAGCCAGGCCCTGCTGTGTGCCGACGGCAGACCGTTCGATTCATCCCTTTGAATTATCTGTGCTCCTGGGACAAGGATGGTGGGCCACGTGGCCGGTCCTCTGTGACCTGGACTCCTCCAGTCCCTGGCCAGGGGCAGAGGGCCCCGGGTAATGGAGAGAGTGCCTCATTCACTGCCATGGCTCCACTGGCAGAGGCCTCACAGAGGGACCCTCTGGGGGAGTCTGCCAAGCCAGGGGGGGGTCAGGAACAGCCTGGACAACAGGGAGGGGCTCCCAGTATGACAAGAGCTCAGGCTTCTCTCCCCTCTCATCGTTATTTCTACTCCACCTTGAACTTGGCTGTTTGCATGGGGCTACCACAGCGAGGCCTGGTGAAGGTCTAGGAATCAGGAGGGCACAGAGCTGAGCCCTGACATGTGAATTCCCCCCAGCATCCCCACCCTGCGACGGAGTGGACACTGAGCTCCGCTCCCCCGGACCCGGCCGGTGAGTGGAGGGCTGGTGGGAGATGTGTCAACCCCCTGCCCTCCTGCCTCTTGGGCAGAGCTCAGCTCCTCATAACGGGATTTCTGTGTGAGGCGCAAGGTCCTTGTGCTGTTTTCTACTAGTACACCCTCAGCAGCTGGACCAGGCGTCAGGGTCAGGGATACGCCATCTCTGCCCCTTGTATCTAGAGACTTAGAGCACTTGGCAGGAGCCTGGTGACACTGCACCCGATGTCTTTCAGCAGCACAGGGAGCGAGATGAACAGCATTGCCGTCCGATTCATTGCTCAGGTCCAGGAACCTGCACACTGTTGGGCAGGACAGACCCTTCCCTGCCATGCAGCTTTGGCCCAGATGGCCCATGTGCCTACTCAGCCCCTTGTCTTCCATCTACTGGTAACTAAGAGATGGTTGTTGGTGAGTTCAGCCAGTCCAGTCGCAAGCAGCACAGGGCAAACGTCTTCGAGCGCAAACTGTCAGTCACAGCGAGAGAAAAGGCCGCCAGTCCCCATGCGATGCTCCACCACTGAGTGCCGTGCCTGCAGATCTGGCGATGGCCATGCCTGCACTCACACAAAGCCAGTGTCCCTGAGCACATCCAGGGCAGAACAGCGTTCTGAAAGCCTCCATCCACAAACGGGCGGGCTCTGCTCCAACACTCAGGAAACCGTCCACAGGAAATGCCCACAGGCGCACCTCGGCTGTCAGACGCTGAAGGAAAGGGAGAAAATCAGATACAGCTCCCCGCTAGGAGTTTTATGTCTTATCCAATTACCTTTAAAATATGCAGCATTCCACTTGGTACAGCAAGAAAATGCTCTTAGCGGAAAACTTGCACTTCTGTGTGTGCCACTCTGCTCCATAATGTCAACTGAGGGTCGTTGGCGCCAATTCAGTGCCAACAGGAATCTCCAATTCGGACTGTGATGAAGAAGGGAACTGTTCGGTGTGATGCAACAGAGCTGTGCAAAGAGCATTGCTGAGAGACCGCCCTGGGCCAGGCCCCTCTCTGGTCGGACAGCTCTGCTCCATACCGGTCTACTTGATGCTACACTGGTCTGCGCGCCTCTGCTGTGGTCTGCTCCGTTCCAGACCAGTCTGCCCGGCCTGCACTGGTGTGCTCCACTCTGCTCTAGAGAGACATCTTTGGTATTTTAGCTCAGCCAAGGAAACACAATTTTCAGTCTTAGGTGGAAAGGTAAAGTGCATGCCCAAAGGCAGAGGGGAGCTGGCTTATATAGACAGAAGTCCCAGCCCTGGTCCCTGATTGGTCTGTCCTCGTGCAGATGAATATCCTAAATCAGTGGTTCTCAACCTTTCTAATGCCACAACCCTTTAATACATGTTATGGTGACCCCAACCATAAAATTATTTTTGTTGCTACTTCATAACTGTAATTTTGCTACTGTTAAGAATCATAATGTAAGTATCTGTGCTTTCCGATGGTCTTAGGCGACCCTGCTAGCAGTTCTCAACCTGTGGGTCGAGACCTAAGACCATCGGAAAACACAGATATTTACATTACGATTCATAACAGTAGCAAAATTACAGTTATGAAGTAGCAACGAAAATAATTTTATGGTTGGGGTCACCACAACATGAGGAACTGTATTAAAGGGTCGCGGCATTAGGAAGGTTGAGAACCGCTGATCTAAATCTTCAGTTTGATTGGTCCAAAAGGCACTGTCCTGATTGGACAGCAGAGAGCCTCTCTGGCTGGTCGCTTCACAGCAACTATTGGAGAGGGAAAGCCTCAGTCCTATTGGTTGAAATAAGGAGCTGGCTCAGATGGCAGATATACCCTGCAGGCGACTCAGTGCAGGCTTCTCCCTGAAGTGCAGTTTTTGTGAGAGGCCTACCTGGAAATGGCTTGTTCTTGTTTTATTTGGGCCCAGTTAGCCACCAGGAGACCTTGTTAGTTTGTATCTTCTGTCCCGGTGTCCACAATTCAGATTAGTCAAATTTGAACTTTTAAAGTTTGGTAAATACTTTGGTTACACAGATTTATTCCTTAAATTCCTTTGTATTGGACATAACACTCATATAAAATAGCCTTCACCTTACCGCTTGGTGATTCACAGGTAAGGAGCATGTGGTTTTGGTCATTGAGCTGTCAGAGGTGTCCTAGTCTCAATGGGTCCCTCTGCCCACCGTGGGTCCCGCCTGCAGCCCCTCTGAGTCCCTGTCCTTGAGCCGGTGTGATCTTTACTGTGTTCCTCCCCCATCCCCAGGAATACATGAATGAGTTCAAACAAGTTTACACTTGTACTCCAGAGTCCTGCAGGCAGAACTGACCTTTAATCCAGGAATATCATTCACTTTCCACTCCTATTATTTGTAAAGTCCCACAGCCTCACAGCACATAACAGAGGCCTTGTGTCACGTCAGTTGAGTTTTGAAGCTAGAGTTTCAAGCCCACGGCAGGAACAGCTGACTCACAGACACCTCCAGGACCCATCCAGAGCCTGGCTGTTGGGGCAGAGCCTTCATGTGCAGCTAGACAGGAACTTGTGACTGGGTGTGCTCCCTGCCTGCCACTCCTCCAGGCGCACATGGGCGGTCCACGCGAGGCACTGCGACATCACACTCGCCCCTGCCCTCACACAGAACCCCTGCAAGTTGCTTGAGACACACTTCCTGCCACTCTGCTCTCCGTGACGTGAGTGTGAGGGCACCTCCTGCTGGCCTTTCTACGAGAAGCTCTTCCTCTTTCTCTTGAGATCAGGAAG